GATGTCCGATATTCAGTTTTAAGGCCGATACAGGCCGATACCGATAGGGGGCCGATTATATCGTGCATCCCTACTTATAAATGCTTCTGACACATGAACCCCACTCTCCACAACCAGGAACCAACAGAATGAGCAATACTTCTAACTAAATGACACAGCAATTTACATGATTTTAAGTCCTTATTCATCTCCTCTGATTCAAAACTTGTGGAGTTGCTTAGTGTCAGTGCATGCCAGATGCAATAAATAAAGTGTTGTGAGAACTTTTGCACTTTTTTCTTTCCCTCTATTCTGAAATCCCCCAAACCTCGGAACAAGTCTTCAGAGTTACCATATTACAACATAGAACGGTTTCCCAAACATGTTCAAAGCCCATGAACATGTGCAAAGCAGATAAAGTATGCACACCATTGACATGCTGAAAGCAACAGATTGGCACAGCACAGACTACTTTTCCACTGGAATTAGATCGATGCTCTCTATATGTCAGTTTGGGATAAACAAGAGTTGAAAGTATGTTTTAAATCTACCAAAGGTTGCGGTTTCATTTATTAGTGGAAACAGCTGTCTTACAGACCTGACCTTTACTTACTGACCCTAAAACTGTTTTGCCACCCTTTGCTGTAAAGAGCTGCCATCAACCGTTTGGGAAAGCACCAACAAGTTTGAAGGTTGCGAAAGATTCACACCTTTACAAAATGTTTCACTTTTGTCAGTCCACATAATATTTTCCCTAAACTTTTGACTCATAGTCTCTGCCCAGAATTATGGGCTTTATTGCTGTTATGTGTCATTTCCAACACCATCCACATCCAGTCCAGACAGTAGGCTTATTTCAAAGTTGTTATTATTTTTAAATGACCATTATGTTGAAAATTGTGTACATTTATTTTATGCTTGTATGGGATGTCAAGGCCGATGCTGACTCTGACCCCTCTGTTGTTAGGTTTAGTAAAAGCATCAGACAAAAGTTGAACAAGTAAATATCTTACTAAACATTTTTATTCACTGATTAAATGATGGTGAAATGTAGGTAAACACTGGTCTGCTGCTACGATAGCGATGTAAATCCCTGTAAACATTAAGACAAGAGGTTAACACTCTTAAGGCCCACAAAATATAGGGTACTTTGTTTCATAAAGTGCAAAAAAAGATAGGCATTTTTGTTTTTAAAAGCCCCTAAGGGGTTCAAACAATAGGTCCCCCCATTTCAACAAATGAGGTTTTTTTAGACTAGAAGAGTTCTGCCTTTTAAGACAGGAAAGTATAGCAGTTAAAGTTGCTACTTGAGAAATTACTGAACCATAGAGATAAAAATAGCCCTGTGATTCAAATTATAAATTGTATTTGGAATAAAAATGAGAGAACTAGGGGTGTTAAAAAAACACATCCTCCAAAGACAGATATTTACATGGGAATGTGGCATATAATTAATTGACATATTACTGATCTTGCTGGATTTTATTCTGCTTTACTTCCATAAATTGCAGGATCTTCTTTACTTTATCTTTGCCAGAAGATTTAAACTTTAAAAGCCTTGCCCTCATAATTTGCTAGTTAATTTATTTATAAAGAAAATATAAACGCTGCTTAAGCTAATTCAAATGAAATTAAAAGTAAAATAAGTAGCCAACCTTATCACTGTCTGTAACCTACTAACAAGGTAAGGAAAGCATCAGATGAGCTACCTGAGAAACTAACGTTACGTTTCCCCACTTTAAAACCAAACAAACATGGTTACTCATCCTGCTGGTCAGCTCTCTTCACTGCCATCAAAGGCTCCAACGTGTTTTCTTTTCAGGTGCTGCATCATAACAGTGGTGCTTCCGTGTTATGTTAATTTGTTTATACAAAAGTTGCATGTTACGACTTTTTTCCCTTTACAAAGCGCAGGCTATTTTAATTATTGTGAATAATTTGCGCCGTCAATCATGCACGCTTCATTTGAAGTCTGGACGCTGAGGGTAAACATCCTGCTGCTCTGACTGCAGCGCTGAGAGGGACTCCTGCCGGAGCGTGATAACTAGGTTGGGATGGGGGAGGCGCCCCACGGCAGCACCTGCCGATGGCGGTGGATGACGCATTAATCGCGCAACACAACTAATCGATGATGAAATTCGTTGCCAACACTTTTAAAAGTCGATTTTTATCGATTTTATCGATTCGTTGTTGCAGCCCTAGTTTAGGCTCTGCTTTGTAAACCACCAGCCAGTCACTTGTAAAAGCTAGTTTTGGTTCCCCAAAAACGTCACAATCACATATGAGTAAAGCCTTTCTTGCTCTAAGTTCTTGTGGTTCAGTATTCCAAATGATTGTGATTATGTTTGCAGCAGTGGTGATTTCTCACTGAATACTAGATAGTCTAAACCACCTCTGTAAATTTTGTTTTTTCCCCCTCTGCTCTGGAGCAGCAGGACACTGTTTGTCAAGTCTCTATGAGAATCCCTGTTGAGGTTTGAGTCTCCATACACCGCTCTTACGGGGTCTATGGAACAGGGGCGCTTGTGAAGCTGGTCATTCGATGCTGATTGGCAAACATACTTAAGAATTTTTGACTGAAAGTGGCCCAATAGGAAGGAGGTTTTCCCCATGAGTCAAGATGGAAAAGTGATCATTCAGTCAGAACAGTCCTCTGGTGCTGAACTCTGCCATGATTTTCTGGATTTTATTATTCCTGAGTGCTTCACCGCAGCTATTTTCAACCATTGTATTGTTTTTTTTTGTTTGTTTTTTTTTAACATTTGTTAATGTAATAGCTGACATTTGGATTTAGCTAACACCATTGAGTCTCCTGCTGGTTTGCAGATACTTTCTAAGCTGGCTATTTTGATGCGTTGTAATAGTTTCTTTTACAGTTGTCCAATTCACCCCATGAGAAACTGAAAGGTATTCTTCTAGACCTCTGTGGTTATAACCAATTTTTCCATTTTATTCTTGTAACAGTTAAAGTTACGCATCTTCTCCATTACACTGTCTCTGTCTCATTCAAATATTACAACTGAGAAAGTGTCTTATTGCCAAGTGGCAGAATTTGTTTCTGTAAAAAGGTCCCACCCCCAAAAAAGACAGTTATTTACATATCTGTCAATTAAATACACAAAATACTAAATTTGTTTTCTATTTGATACTTATGCTTTGTTTAATGATATTCTGATGTTAAAACACTGTTTGTACCCACTTCTGTGTTCTAGAGCAGCTTAACCATGGCCCAGTGGATGGACATGACTGTTCTGCTTACTCGCTTGGATGAGGCTACAGTCAACAGCCTCTACCACCCAGATGTCTTCCCACTTGAAGTTAGACATTATCTTGCTAACTGGATTGAAGAGCAGAGATGGTAAGACACTGATGCATGCGTGTATAACATTAGTAAATAAAAGGCATCATGAAGAATGAACACAAATCTAGATAGGTCAGAAATTTGTTTTTTTTAAATCATGGTTTGTGCCACACCTGCATAAAAGATCTGGACCAATGGTTGGGAAAATCCTACTCTATTTAGGTGTGCATTCATACCTGTCACATTTGGTCCACTTAAAATGGAGTTGTTGTGAATCAGTATTGTTTTTGTCAACGATGAGGATCTTGAAATCATTTCGTCTTCTTTTTTTAATGATGATAACAAAAAATGACGGACTAAACATGGATCTTTGATGACTAGTCATGGGTTTGAGTTTTCGTCAACTAGAAGAGACTAGACTAAATAAAAATTAGCCGGTCTTCGGTCAGACATCATCTTGCTGTAATCTGCCAAGCAGTATCAGCTGTGCTGCTGCATCTAGTTTGATCCTGCCACCCATCTGGCATGCAGCAATGCTCATTCTGCCTGATAGTTTTAGTCGGCTAAAACCGACTAAAACTATCACATATCGTACTAAAATGTGACTTAGACTAATAATAGTCTTAGTTTATTATTAAGACTAAGACTAAATATAAGATGGCTATCAAAAACAACACTGGTGTGAATACGGTCAAGGGAATCCTACTCCAGAGCAAACAAGTTTACAGATGTCCCTTTTTTAAGGGGAAAGACAAGACATAGACAAAAGTCTATTATTGTGTAACCTAACTCAATTTAACACCACAACCGCTCCCAAGACAACCTGTGAAAAAGGCTGGTAAAGTGTTTAGTGCCAAGAGACTCTAAAGGTAAAGACTAAGTGTTGGAATAAGCAGTAGAGGTTGAGCTGGTTTAGAGGAGGTGTGGTCAGAAAGTGCTTTCTAGCATGGAGAGTGAGCAGGGTGCCGCTGGACATTATGTCAGGGTTAGATCTTGAAGTGAAGGATCCCCCCATCACTGAAGGTTGAGGCAGGCTTGGTGGAGCCCAAGACTTAAATCAGAGCGATATCAATATCTGATATCGCTCTGATTTAAGCCAAAAACACTAATATTGGCCAGCATCTATAAACTCTGACTTTTTCATACTGATAAAAACACTCTGCTTTTGTTAAAAGTTTCTGCAACTAATTGGTTAATTTTACATCAGTCCATTGTTTTCATGTCTTTTGTTGTTGATGTTATTTTCTTCTTTTCGTAGTATTACTTCATCAAGCGTATTCTAAGCTTCTACACTAAAATAATCTCAAAAAAAGCTGGTATGATCATTCAAATATTGTATCCAGTCAGTATCAGTCAATTTATCAGTATTATATCGGATTTGAAAAAGTTGTATCAGGGAACCAATACTTATTAGTTTCAGTGGTTTGCTTTAAGATGCTGACTCGGCGTTTCCTAAAATTTATTACTTTTTCCATATAGGGGACCCCAAAGTGCTTCAAACAAAACGATTATGTGTCTTCCCTAAGGACAAAATGACTAAGATGAATTAACTTGTGACCATCTCATTGCAGGACAAATTCCTCTATCCTACACCAACGTCTACCGTACTTTGCTCACATCAAAACCCTGTAAAGGAAATTTGGTAGCGAGCAGCTGGCCTTGAGCAGACTACTTACATTAGATCTAGTAAAAGAAATACCTCAGCACCTCGAGGCATGCTTTAAGCCACACCTCCAGCTATCACTGAAACCATGAATATGCGACAGGATTCATGCAGAATAGAGTCTGAGCATAGTAAAGCTGCGCAGGACTACAATTATCAGTAAAAAATGGGTATTAGATTATGAAAAATTGATAACACTTGAGCAAAAATTCACCAAGACAACTATCCTAAACATGCAGTAAGGTTTATTGATTTGTTAGGATAGCTTAGACTAGGGCTGCAACAACGAATCGATAAAATCGATAAAAATCTACTTTTAAAAGC